TCTTGCATGCGGATTTTTCGGCTTGAATAGATAGATACTCTTTATTGTTCCCTCCATAAGATTACAATAGTAAACTTATTTTTATTTATATTCAAGTTTCAACCGTGAAGCAGTTGTGTTTGCATGGCTGTGTTTCGGTTTGAAGGGTGGGATATGGCGTGAATTTACTGAGTACAGAGGAATAACACCCGAGTCCTCAGGAATGGCAACGCATGGGGGGTATAATGGGCGAAGCAATACACTCTGTTATGTCCATGGTACTGGTCATCTCTATAGGCGACGGTTATCACTTACCATCAGGTGAGCCGTCAGCTTGTTTGCCATTCTAAGTTGCATAAAAAAAAATTATAAATACAAACAATTACAAGAAATGATCACAGTGATACAGCAATGGGCGACCTTATCGCTAAGAGCGATTTGGATGGAGAGGAGTAATTATGAATGGGAATAGATTAAAAAAAAATTGGTAGGTTCTCTCATTTCGGTTGTACTTTATTTTTGTTTTGTTCCCTCGTAATTTAGTCGTTTAAAAATTATTTGATAATTTTCTTTTTTTTTTATTTGAATGAATGTATTTTTATATTGGTTCGGTAGAAACATTATCAGAATCGATTTGGTAGTTCAGTTTTTAACTGGCCTCAAAATTATGGAATTTCTCAAATCGGTTGTATTTTTTTTATGTTTGTTACTTCATAACTCCGTCAATTGTAAACGGATTTTAAAAATTCCTTTTTTATCTGAAAGGATAAACTTATTGATCTGGATTGATCTGGTAGAAATTTCATCAAAATGAGTCCAATAGTTTAGATTTTAGCACAAAATAAAAATGGTTTTGTCACAACTGAAGTCGATTCTTTATATAAGACCCAATATTTAATTATTCATTGTCAGCATATCGGCATTGAACTGTCCACTGCTGGACATAAGCCTCCCTCTTAGGAGGTTTTGCCAGTAGTTGCCACGCTTGGCAGGCAGATTGGCAACCGCAATTAGGCTTTAGAGATGTTTTAAGAGGGACGCTGCTGTCCGTCCCTCGCGCTCCCTTAGTCGCCTCTTACGACACCCACGGGAAAGGAAGGGGTGGCCTATTCTATGCCATGATTATAATAGGTATTTTTTGTGGAACCAAATATACTTGTGAAAATAGTAAAATTAATAAAGAAAACCACCACTAGATGGCGTATACTCATACAGAAGACAAATAGGAAAACCGCTAGCAGTTTAGTATAGTAATTTTTATGTGTTACTAAATGAAAACATGCAGACAGAGAGAGAGTTAAAAATTCTGAAAATTATTGTTTTTTTTTTCTTCTTTTTTACTTTTACTTGAGAAATGATCGACGAAAGTTTGTATGGGGATATAAAGTTTCATCCCCTATTTCATCCCTTCATGTTTTATTAAAATTTATTTATATATAATATGTATACTAATATTAAAAACAAGTAAAGTTTGTAAGTTTAGATGTTTGGAGTAATTTCCGTTACTTTGTGTAGTATACGTAACTAAAATAACTAAAATGTATTGAACAGTTTCAAAGATACACAAACAAATATTGTCCCCGTGCGAAGCCGGGACAGGTCGCTAGTCATACATATATATATTAGAATACAATATATTCTAAATATATTTCCACAAAACATATACAGAAACTTGGCTTTTCGAAGCAAACATAAGCAAAATAGTATGTGCAAAACGTTAAACGTATGCTTGTAACATCTGGGCTCGCTTTGTCACGCGGACGGGTGATTGATCAATACTGAATTAAGCGTATTCTGCGGACGTCCATATCACTGGTTCATCATTTTTTTTTTATACAACTTAGAATGGCAAACAAGCTGACCGGCCACCTGACGGTAAGTGGCTACCGCCGCCCGTGATCACCCACAACACCAACGGCATTGCGGGTGTGCTGCCGGCCTTTTAAAAAGGAATATGCTCTTTTCTTGAAGGTTATGTTGTCGTATCAGTTCAGAAATTCAATGGTTTGGTTTTTAAATCAAAGCAACTGGTTTTTCCACAATTGAAGTCGATTTTTTAGTGGAATACACTAAACTATTAAATAACTACATCTTTTATGCCACTATGCTAACAACCAAGCATACGGCCCGTCTGCTGGTAAACAAGATTTTTATGCAATTCAGAATGGCAAATAAGCTGAAGGCCCACCTGATGGAAAGTGGTAACCGTCGCCTATAGACGTGAACAGTACCATGGACATAACAGAGTATACTGTTTCGTCCATGATACCCCCCATGCGTTGCCATTCCTGAAGATTACGAACCTTATAGATTTCTCACTGTTTTTCAAACGATCGAATATCTCAATTGACGTTACAGGGCACGTAAGTACTCTATAAACATTTGCTGTTACTTGAGCTCTTTAAAATTCCACGCACAGACGTCAATGGACTGTAAATATTTAGATGCATACGTGTATGGCGGATAGACTCTCAAATGGACGCTTATTTTAAGATATCTATAGCTTTTAAATGATCTTACAGGTAAATATTGTAACATTGCAGACGCACGCACGCAAACACACGCACACGCACACACACACACACACACACACACACACACTACTATTTATTATTAGAATAATTACAATTACAAAAAAAAATGCATAGTTAACGTTAAATAGTTTATTATTGGACACGCACGCACGCACATACACGCACACGCACGTACGCAACGGACGCACGCACACACATGCACGCTCACATCCTCACACACACACACACACACATACACACACACTACTATTCATTATTAGAACAATTACAATTACAAAAAAAAAATGCATTTAAAACGTTAAATAGGCGTTACAAATGGCCTGGTGGCTGTAGCACAGGTTTTCCCAGTTCAATACATACACTGTATATTGTTAAGAAAAAAAAATTCAAATTCAAATTTATTATTTGCATTTAATATGGTTACATTCTAATGACGTCCAGTAGTGTACACTTCGAAATACATGTTTCACCAAAATACGGACCTACATATATATATATATATATATATATATATATATATATATATATATATATATATATATATATATATATATATATAATTAGTCATTTTATACGTGATATTTATTTATTGAGTTAAACTTTAATGCACAGTAAAATTCTATGTACATATGGCGGACTGAACACCGGACGGTAGGCGGTACATTATTGAATAGAGGAAATATAAAGCAATACTTGATATATTCATATAATATAAACATACACATAATATATTAAATAAATAAATATATACATACAATAAATACATAGATAAAATATTACTATATAAAACAGGGGGGAAAGGGATTGTTAGTAATGGAGATTAAAAATCCCATTGCTGGCAATATACCTAACCAGATCGACCTCCACGCGGTTCCCCCTGGAAACTATCATGGTTAATTCCTGATGAATTCATCATGATGGGCTAACTGGCCTGTTTTCATTCTCATCTGTCACCCTTCACTGGTGCTCCGCCAGCGTATCCCGTTAGCGCAGGCGGGGCTACCATACCATTTTCATTCAACAAAAAAAAAGTATATGACATAACTATATATATATATATATAATGACACAACTATATGTAGGCGTATGAATTTGTGTCGCAAAAAAACTAACATCAAATATCATAGATGCGAAACCTTGAACACTGATCCCTGTCGCCGGATATCGCCGGCCAGTCTCCTGTCCTTCGGTAGCTTTTTTAATAAAAGCCATGTTCAGATATTATTTATTACTAGCAATAAAGAACGAACGTAGGCCTGGAGGCGGCTCTAAATTGCTTTGTATCCCAAATTGTTATGTAATAAAGAGACAACGATTGAAGGGAACGCGTTTCAAAATTTGTCAATGCATTTATAATGATAAGCCACGTCGGATAAGTCGTGTTTCTACCGTGAAGCAGTTGTGTTTGCATGGCTGTGTTTCGGTTTGAAGGGTGGGATATGGCGTGAATTTACACGGTACAGAGGAATAATACCTGAGTCGTAAGGAATGGCAACTCATGGGGGGAATCATGGGCGAAACAGTATACTCTGTTATGTCCACGGTACTGCTCATGTCTATAGGCGACGGTTACCACTTTCCATCAGGTGGGCAGTCAGCTTGTTTGGGTATCTTCGGGATATCTTCGGGATTCGGGATATCTTCGGGTTAACGTCGGTCACTTTGGTTCTTTTGCGAGTATCATAATTTCGGATTTTGGAAAGCAAAGAAGCTTCGAATATAGTCCTTTGAGAAATTTGAAGCTATTGCATATGGGCAACAGTTTAGGGCTATGTTTTAATTCCACAGTAGTTATGAAACCATAGTTTTTAAGAAATAGCAACGGATGAGTCACCATGTGCACAACAGTGCAAGCTGTAATCTCCACAGTGCTGCTCATACCTATGGAGGCATCCATTAATTACGTGAGCTCAGAATAGGGGGGGAGGGGTCTAATGAATTCTCACCAAATCTCATTTAAACCGAGGGGGGGGGGATAATCAAAAATCTCACGTCAACTTCAAAAAATATAAAATATTAAAGATAATACTAAAATATTAAAGATAAACGTAGACGTTTCCAGTGATTGTCTTCCTGCACTACTAGAAGTCCCAGATGATATGTGTCCAATTATTTCGATTGAAAAAATACACTAGTCTCCATGGATTGAGTAAAAATTTAAAAGAAAGTGTTTTTTTTTTATGTTTTTACTTTGAATTTTATTTAATTTAAATAAATTAATTATAGTATGTATACCTGAACGATTTATTATTTTCCTGAATAATAAATATAAATTAAGGTTAAAATATTTTTTGCGTCAATCTCACCTAAGGGGGGGGGGGGGGTCAAGGCAAATCTCACTAAATCTAGGGGGGGGGAGGAGTCTAAACTGATCGAAAAAGAGCTCACGTAATTAATGGATGCCCCCTATAGGAACATCAAAACTATCAATTTGTTTGCCTTTCTAAATGTCATAAAAATTTTAACCTAACTGTTCTGAAACCACAGGTCCAACAAACTCAAAGCCTTCTGGTTCAGCATATCGGACGAGCCGCTACCAGCGCTGGACTTCCTCTCAGCGGCTTTGCTGTCGGCGGAGTACGAACGAGCCCTAGGCCGAGCACTGGCCATGCCCGAGTGTCGACTCATACCGTTCTTTGGCGCCTTTTTAAGAGAACTCAGGTGAGTGCATATCTGCATATCAGAAGTATTTTTTTTTAATGGATGATAATGGTACGGTAACCCCGTCCGCGCTATTGGTATACACTGGCGGGGCACCAGTGAAGGATTACAGATGAAGATGAAAGTAGGTCAGTTAGCCCATCCTGACGAATTAAACTAGAATTAGTCACGATGGTTTCCAGGGGGAACCACGTGGAGGTCGACCTGACAGGGTATATTGCTAGTAATAGGGCTATTTGCCCATTACTAACAATCCCTTACCCCCCTATCAGAAGTACTAGAAGTCTGACCATGACTAAGTGTCATTTCGTTCTTATGGCACCTTTTTTAAAGAATTTATTAAATCATATCCGTTTGGAAATACTGCTGCTGGGAGTTGGTCTCATACTTGGGTTGTGCGTGAAGAGAAGTTTTTTTTTACAACACAGGGGGCAAACGAGCATGCGGCTCACCTGATGGTAAGTGACTACCGCCGCCCATGATCACCCACAACACCTACGGCATTGCAGGTGTGCCGCCGGCCTTTTAAAAAGGAATATGCTCTTTTCTTTAAGGTTATGTTGTCGGTGGAGTGCACGGTGGAGGGCCGTTACTTATTTAAATGGTCGGGATGGAACTTTAGCTTCTAGCGGATTGGATGGTGATGAAATTCAGCATCGTTTGTCCTTTATTGTTCCTTCTAGTATGCTCTTTAAACTCAACATCAAGGCTTAACAGCAGTTGCTAACTCGCCTGTCAAACGTGGCAACTACTGGCAAAACCTCCCAATAGGCAGAAGCTTATATTTAGCAGTGGACAGTTGACAGCTTATGCGATGATAATTTTTAAAAAAATAATAATTTACAATTTTTTTTTAATGGGTGAAAATGGTATAGTAGCCTGCGCTAACGGGATACGCTGGCGGAGCACCAGTGAAGGGTGATAGATGAGAATGAAAACAGGCCAGTTAGCCCATCATGATGAATTCATCAGGAATTAACCATGATAGTTTCCAGGGGGAACCGCGAGGAGGTCACCTGGTTAGGTATGTAGGTTAGGTTGCTAGCAATGGGATTCTCAGTCTCCATTACTAACAATCCCTTTCCCCCCAATTTACAATATTAATGTAGATAAAAATCCGAGGTTTTCCCAAGAGACTACAGTATGGGGTTCTTCAAAAGGGGGGTAAAGAGGTTTCCTTAGGGTCGGCAACGCGCGCGTAATACCTCTGGTATTTCAGGCGCTCATAGACTACGGTAACCGCTTACCATCAGGTGGGCCGTATGCTTGATTGCCACCTCAGTGATATAAAAAAAATTCAATTTTATTCAATTAAATGAACCACTCTATATAAATCCTCGCTTGACGTATAAAATCTAATTATAATAAACACCAATATGGGGAGAATACATTGAAGAATGGCTTCGCGGAATTGATAATGTCTCGTGCGGAATGGGATGCAACGCGCGTTCCGTATTATAAGCAAATAAGGTATCCACAATGAGTTGTTAATACCACAATTCCAATTTGACCCGAGGGAGACTTTTTACAAAAGTCGTTTGTTTGAGCACCTCTGTCCCATGTTTGTATGACGGACATGAGCAGTACCATGGACATAACAGAGTATACTGTTTCGCTCATGATACTCCCCATGCGTTGCCATTCCTGAGCACTCGAGTGTTATACGTCTGTACGCTGTAAATTCACTGCCTTATCGCACCCTTGAAGGGTGGGATAAGGCAAGATTTTTATGCCACGATGCGAAAAAGGTGTGCGTCTCTGGTGCGCAGAGTACGTGCCAGCGCCAACAGCATCCTGAGTATGATAGCGAGCAGGCTGCACTGTGTGTACGTTAATCGCTGCTGCGCAATTTCCAATGGAATTGTGCAGCGGTGATTATCTGTATATTATTTAATATATTATGTGTATGTGTGTGTGTGTGTGTGTGTGTGTGTGTGTGTGTGTGTGTGTGTGTGTGTGTGTGTGTGTATTGTGTATGTAAATTTACTAACATTAGTTTTAAGAATATTGTTACTAATAAATATTTAATGAACGAAAAAAGTCCGAAATGAAAATTATTATTATTATTATTTGCCTGTACGTAGTCGCCCCTCAAGGACCTTGATCATGGGAGATATTGGGAGATATTTAAGAAAAAATTATATAATATATATATTTATATACAGGTTATTATATCTCATAATGCTTATCGTTGTTTTAATTTATGTATATGTATGTATGTATATATATATATATATATATATATATATATATATATATATATATATATATGGTATATGTATATGTATTATATGTGCATCTTATGTGTAGATTATATTTTTTTTTGCAGATACACAACTTATATTTATTTACAAGAAGAAATAATCACAAAATATTACTTAATCCAATATAACATTAAAAAATTTATATTGTGTATTGCCTTAATGTGTTACTATTGTCACATATTTTTCACCACGTCTGCCCTTCATACGCTTTCTGTTTTTACCCAATGGTCAGCTGGTAGAGAATGCCGTATGGCATTAAGCTCGCCATTTGTACAAAATTTTATTGTAAATAATGTAAATATTTATTCAATGTAAATCGAAATTATTGCATGATGAATCTATATAAAAAAAGAGCAATTATATGTAAAAATAATTAAATGTAATCTAACATCTAAATGGACACTAATGCATGTACATTAGCTAGCTATCAACGTAATGTTGCTACGCCCAAACAGGGCTTATTTATTTACTATACATAAGAACATTGTAACAACTCTGTATTATGTACATGAATGCATTAAAATAAATAGAAGCCAAAACAATATATTTGTAGAAATTTTATGTTTGTCTATATGTTGCTTTATATTATTCCCAAATTCGTGTATAATATAGTATATGTCATATATGTGTAAGTATATTTGTTATTTATATATATTTATTCGTTTATATATGTAATTTTAGTATGTATGTATATCAATAATTACTAGTACCGCATTCGAGTATTCTGACACTTGCCTATGGTTGACTGGGAGAGAATGCTTTTAGCATTAAGTCCGCCATGTACACATATTTGTACTGATGAATAAATAAATAAATAAATAAATGTTGTTACCAGAGGGAGACTTTGTACAAAAGTCGTTTGCTTGGACACCTCTGTCCTATTCGTGTTTCTACCGTGAAGCAGTTGTGTTTGCATGGCTGTGTTTCGGTTTGAAGGGTGGGATATGGCGTGAATTTACAGGGTACAGAGGAATAACACCTGAGTCCTCAGGAATGGCAACGCATGGGGGGTATCATGGGCGAAACAGTATACTCTGTTATATCCATGGTACTGCTCATGTCTATAGGCGACGGTTACCACTTTCCATCAGTCTTCAACACATTATAGACAGTAGGTGAGGGAAGGTATTGTTAGAAATGTGGACTTACAGTCCCATTGCTGTCCGGTCGACCTGGAAACCAGCGCGTTGAATTCCAAGTGTGTTCATCATGATAGGCTAACTGCTCTGCTCTCATCTTCACCTGTGACCGCTCACTGGTGCCCCGCCAGATATTATTCACATATATTTATTTATATATCTTACACACGGTAAATCATCATATATATTCCCTAAAAGCATATTGTTGGTGTGCCTTTTATAAATAAATAAATAAATAACCTCATATATATACTTTAAATGGACGTACAAAAGCATATAATAAATAAATAAAAAGTTTTATAAAAGCATCTCTAAATATTAAATAAATTTAATTTAATTGATTGAATTAATTGGGTGAAAATTAAAATCGAAATAATTGGACTAAATTAAATAGCTCATTAATTTTTCGATTCATTTATAATGAAAACTGAAGGAGATTAAAAAATATTATATATTCAGTAATTAAATTAAAAATTGCGTCTCCCTTGATGCCTTATTACCGTGCCTGATACGAGTCTGCAATGTATTTTTTTTAATAGATGTTGATGGAATTGTAACCCCGCCTGCGCTAACGGTATACGCTGGCGGGGCACCAGTGAAAAGTGATCGATGAGAATGAAAACAGGCCAGTTAGCCCATCATGATGGATTATCAGGAATTAACCATGAAAGTTTCCAGGGGGAATCGCGAAGAGGTCGACCTGGTTGGGTATATTGCTAGCAATGGGATTCTCAGTCTCCATTACTAACAATCCCTTTCCCCCCGGTATCCCCGGTATCACTATGAAATGTACATAATATATATGAGATGATATGGGACGGGAAAGAACAGAGGCTTCCTTTGTCTCCGCCAGTGAATATATCTTGGAAGCGGACGAAGCCGCGCGTAAAAACTAGTCATAAATAAATATTTAAGTTTACATATTTTATGGACGAGATGTATGCCCTGATTACGTCACTATGAGCTCTCATTACGTAGCTGATTAAAGCATTTTGTGGCTGGCTTTTCGCATGGATAAACTGTGTCAATGGAACCCAATGAAAATTGAACCAAGTTATGTTGAAATTATGGCTGTGTTTCGCTTTGAAGGGTGAGATATGACAGTGAATTTACACAGTACAGAAGCACAACCCCTTAGTCTGGGGGGAAAGGGATTGTTAGTAATGGAGTTTGACAGCCCCATTGCTAGCGATACGCACTATCAGGTCGACCTCCACGTAATTCCCCCTGGAAACCATCGTGAACAATTCTTGTTGAATTCGTCACGATGGGCTAACTGACCTGCTTCATCCTCACCTATCATCCTTCACTTGCGCCCCGCCGGTGTATACCGATAGCGCGGGTGGGGTTACCATTCGATTATCACCCATTAAAAAAGCCTCTTAGTCCTCAGGAATGGCAACGCATGGGTGATATCATGGGCGAAACAGTACACTCTGTTATGTCCATGGTACTGCTCGTGTCTATAGGCGACGGTTACCACTTTCCATCAGGTGGGCCGTCAGCTTGGTTGCACCTCTAAGTTATATAAAAAAAAAATATAATCAACTAACCAATTAAAGAAAATGTAATGTGTTCGATTGATTAATTTAGAAAG